ATCGTTATCCAAAAGTTTTTTTTTTTTTTTAAAGGTTTCCTAGTATTATTTGTGCAACGGAAGTTGGCATCGTTAAACATAACTAAAAAAATTAACTCTTTAACAAGCATGACTTTTACATTAGTTTAACTAAATCACTACAATTGTTCCAGCGAATGAGGATACAAGTCATGATGCTTTTGTCGAAGAAAAACAAAAAAAGAAAGAAACTCGCACCGAAACCGAATGCAGTGGAAATTTCATTGTATGGATGAACATATACAGAGTTCGACAATAAAAGCGCGTTGATGCGCTAACGCGCAATTCGAGTGATGAATTAACAATAATCGAATGATGTGATAACGAATAAGGGAGGGTCGGAGGGTACACCCATAAGAGCGAGGCAAGTTTACGCGGAAGTGGTACGCGAGTCGCGTACATGCGGTCGAGATACGTATAAGCGCGAGCGAGACTTTGGCCGCACTTTATCTTAACAAGCTCGGAGATTGAATTCGCGGAACTGATAGAGCTCCCCCCGGGCTGGTTTAACTCGATTTCGTTTGCTAATAATAGATTCCAATATAAATCGAGGTGCAAATGGGTTGTCGCTTCCGATGTTTGAAAAAAAAAATACAGCCAATCCGATTGACCGAGGTAAACTTATTTATTTCTATTTATCTATATTCTAACTTATCCATTTACTTTTTTTTCATTGCAAGTTGAATGTTTTGCATATTTCATTTTCAACTGGTTGGAGGTCGAGTTATTTTTAAATCACGAAATTTCCCGAGGCGTCCGATGAGCCTCTGGCATCGGTACAAAAAGAGAATAGTAAAAAAAAAAAAAAAAAAGGGAGAGAGAGAAGGGTCTATCGCTGAGTGCGAACAATCTATAATTACTTCCCTCATAATGAGCCACGCCACTAATGCACCGCTCCATGGCTATATCTTTCGCACCCATGCATCAGCATACACGGCTTTGTAGAAAATAGAAACAGTAAAAAATGAGCCGTGAAAAAAAAAAGGGGCTCGAGCTAATTATAGCGTACAGAGAGAGGGTGCGTGTGGGGCCACGACCTCGCGAGCTCCGGTGACTATATATACATACATGCCCACCTTCATCCTCGGCTCCGGTGGCGCTGATTTTATTCGCTTGGCGTGTGAACCGGGGCAGATAGCTTTTCTCCTGTGCCTCCTTTTCTTTTCGCCCGTTCCATCGACCCGTACCTGATGGGTGTATCTGATTTTTAGAGAATTTTTTCACTTTGCCTCTCAACGTGGAGAAAATACTCTTTTGTTGTGTGTTATTAAGGACAGGCGTTATGTGATTTAAGGGTTTTTGCGGTAATTACATCCTGCAAAGTATTGCCGAGAGTACGAGACAATTTTACGATTTGAAGAAAGAACTGAAAAAACATATTTGGAGAATGTTGATTTTATAGAAAAGTGGGACAATACATTTTAAAGTATAGGTAGTATAGTATTAGCTAAAATAACCACGCTAAAGTAGCCGGTGGATGGCACAATCAGTTGTTTTGGTGACTGAGAATAAAACAATACTTAATAATAAAAGCTCATGAAGGAATTTTTCCTCTCCCACCTGAGTACGGGTTGTACAAGATAGGAATCTCATGCACTTGATTTTTATTTTTCAATCTATAAAATATTTTATATCCAGCTTAAAAATAATATTCATGGGTACCATATTTTTAAAATAACCATATAAATGGAGGGATGAGACTCGAAAAACTTTCTTGAAACGAGATCCCATGATTTTTATTTAAATATCCTCGAAAGGACAGTTTATACGTTCATTGGCATCAAAATCGAAAGCAAGACAATTTTCGTCTGATCCCCATCGTAACGAAATAAGAGCAAGAAACTCCCTCCCCCTCCTGTGTCTCACGCCATGTACATACGTATATTACCCTACGGATTCTTCGGTATTTTCCAATAAAGTTTGTACCGGTGGCTTCGTCAATATTGGCAATAAGAGCGTCTTGCCTGGATTATTGGAAAAAACTGTGCGACACAAGAGCGGCGATTTCCATCAAACGGATGTACACCCTTTTTTTTATTTCATATAAAAACCTCATCTTTTTCAGGGGAATTAACGACCACTTGATCACTTAATCTCAGTGCAGTGCAAATGATTAGTAACTCCAATCAGATTCATAATTGCAATTAACGTAAGACTTTGTTCACTTTCAACGCCAACGTACACTTCTATTACCAAATTATCCACCGATTAATTCCATATGCATCACGATGGCATCAATTACGAGATGGACCTAATTAACCAAATCAACACTCCGATGACGATTCGACAATTGTATAGTTGAGCCGAATAAAATCGATCTTGAAATTGTCAATGTATGTATAGTCGTACACGATAAACAGACACCGGGAACTATAGTCAGACTGTAACCAACGCAACAATGTCTCTTTTCTGCATTAGTTGAATTTCAAGAGCCCCACGTTGAAGAAGAAAAGCATCTCCAGCCTAGCTCTCACCATCCAGAGTAAACTGCAAGACCCTCTGCTCGGCACTACTATAATCTTGGTCTCTATATCTTACTTTTCATCGAAAGCGAAAGCCTCTTGAAAGCAGGAGGAGACTCCCGGTGTATACGTTCAACCAGCGGTGCACACCCAACGAAATAGCAACAATTTCCCATCTGCCGTTGTAATTGCGACTTCCTTCCCCCGCGAGTCAAACCATCCGCAGTGGGCGCGGCTCGTCAGGTAGCACAACTTGCACTCCATACACACGCCTAGCTGTCTTTACTGGGAGATCGGCGCGCGAGGCATTCGCTGTTATTAATCCCGCGTAGCGTCGATGGCGCGTCTTTATTAAGTCGGCTCGCCGTGTAATGCATATATATATACGTGTCCACCGGCATTCCTCGGACAGGCTCCCCCGGAAGTGGTCGTTCCGACTCTCGATGGGTATTTCCCATCGGCTGGGGGTCGTATACATACAAGATTTTATTTGGCTTGTTCCAACGAGTGTCTCGTGCATGGCTTGCTTTTTTCCTTCGTCAAACTTTTCACTTACCCGAATCCAATTAAACGTCGCCCTCGATATATTCGATGGCTGTCCCGTGCGGGATGTGGGTACGTAAAATGGCAATTAAAACTGTCCCATAGCGCCGGACTGGATGTATTTGTCGCCGGAGGCCCCCTTGCACATGCAAACTCGTTCCTCAACGCGAGTCCGCGTCCATATTGACTTTATTTTCGATGTAATATAAAAGCCGAGCTGTGCAAGACAGTTTGTTTAGCTCGGGGGGAGGAAACTGTGTTATTTTTCAAAGCAATGAGGACGAGGCTCTTTGTTGGGGATTTTTTCATCCCCCTCGTTAGCGTGGAGGGGTTTTGTTTTTTAATTTTTCTTATTCTCAATCGGTTACCACGTTGGAAGCGCGCTTTACTAATGAAAAATTCTTGAAAAATGCTAATTTTTTTTTTTGTAACTGCTCGCAAACTACTGTAATCCATTTTTGATGGGTACAACATGCATCTGGACAGAGTAAACATCCCTTAAAAAGCCATTTTCGTTTCAAACGAATAACTTTGAGGGGCACTAGGAATCGATAAATCAACCGAATTGGTCCAACACATCGAGCAGAGAGTAATAAACGCATCGGTACAAAGCACAAGGATTAACATCTCCATTAGTTCATAGTGCATCCCTTTGAGGCCCTACGACGACACAACCGTACCCACATATATATGTACATGTATGTTACAACCGCACATACGACACAAACGTGATCAGTTTAATTAGCACGCCAAAGCTGGATATGTATGTATATACATATATATACATGCGAGTCACCGGCAAAGTGCACCACCGACCGGGACGACGAAGGTAATTATGCTGCATCGAGCTCCAGGGCCAGAGAGGGGTGCACGTCAAAAGATTCGATAATGACACTCGCGTACGGTGGGGGAGGAAGGTATTGGGCGCACGCGTACAGCAGCTGCGCGTGGGGATGTATACATTAATGCGTAACGTTTCAACGTTGCAGGTCACGAGAGCACTGGTTTACCTTGAAAAAATAAAAAAATAAAAATAAAGTAATAAAATTAAAAATAGAAGAGTTAATGATTTAGGGATTCAGTGACTGTGCTGATTAATTTTAGGGAAAACTACGACTTTACGCAAATACCCGAGAGATGATAAAAAAAGTGCGGCGTTTTTATTATACGAGTGTGCGTCTATTTACTTAATGGCAAATTTGGGCTCTATACTCGTTACTATGTAATTACACGCGTACAATTTTTTTCAAAAAACATTTTGGTTCATCATTTTGCGCCATCGATAGGCACATCCATTCGTCCGTTCCGTAATTTTAACTTTATACCCTCCTCTTAATATACACAGGCTTGTTAAGAAAAAGTGGGACGTACACGTGATAGTTGAGTTTCGAACGAGCCATAGTACATAGCTGTAATTAAAGCAGTGGTGGAAGACGAGCTTCGATATTAAACCGCACGGATAATTGGGATTGCACACATAAAAGGTACGGAAAATATTTAAGTACCTTTTTTTTTCGTCGGATGAACGTTTGACTCGTTGTACAATTGGATATTTTTATCGAGTACCATGTGGTACATGTATTATTGATGGACGTTGAAATTGATGCTCCAAAAATACAGAAATGAATTATCTAGTAACGCTTACGTTTAAAGTCACTTCTTATATACGGTAAAGTGAAACTACAGTGATAAGAAATAAGCCTCACCCACACACCTCCACGTCATTACTATTCGCAAAAACTACCAGAGCCAGAAACAATAACCACCCCCCTCCCACTCCTTATACCAATGGTAAAACCATGAACCCACTCTAAACCAATTCCCGAACAAGAATAGCTGCAATCGGGGCTCTGAGAATCACTTAAATTCCACCAGCTCTCGTGCACCTAAGAAAGCCGCACCTCCCTCCCCGAGCCCTGTACCAACGACAAAAAGCCCACTAGTGGGTGGTGGAGTAAATTCACGCAAATGCATTACCCAAATTATCCGCGAGGCCAGTCCCGAGGAGGCTCGACAGCAGCAGAACTAGCCGAACGACGGCCGACACGCCTGCACCGTTGTCCCCGTGCATCATCTTCATCATCTTCATCGCCGGCTACTCTGCAGATGACTTTACCCTCCCTCAGCCGGTGCAGGGATCACTCATAGTTGCACGTCGGCAGCATCACACCACAAAAATCTTACTTTCCCGCACTACCGGTCTAGCGCCACGGCCAACCCGATTTCAACACCAATCGGTGAATCCACTGGGTTCAGGAGCTACCGATCATTCGTGACCTACGACAAGTATAGTATACCGATCCTCCCTTCCTCCGAACTTGTGACGCTGGTGAAACCGATGAACCGACCTTATTTCCCCCTCACCAGCCTTCCACTGCTCGTCCGGGGACACTCGCGAAATTTTATTTCACCGGCGTGTGAAATACTCACGCGAAGCCCGACCTTTTCCGGCCCGATGAACGCTCCGAAGGGGGAGGACTGTATTTTCCCGAGTTAATGTATTTCCGGGGACGGGCACAAAAAAAATGAGCGCACTGTGCTCCGGCCCTCCCTGGCGCGGAACAGCAACTGAAAAACACACCAGCACACACGATGTATTGGTACAACGAACTCGCGAGTCGACAAATCAAGTCGCTTGTCGGTCGGCTAACAACTAGCACCGTACGTAGGTGCCGTGTAAATGTATACCTTCAGTGTGACAGTATAGCGGTAAATCCGATTTTCGACTCTATTCTTTTTTTTTTTTTTTTCGGTCTCCTCCCCTCGACAGGTAGGAACAAGAGGACGAAATCCACGCGATCGACGACTCGCGTACACGTACACCGATCAAAGCCCGATCGATCGGACTAGCCCCTCCTTCTCGTCATCGCTCGGCTGCGAGGGTAAAAAAAATCACCAATGATCGGTCCGTTTGCAAACACACCCGCTCTTCAATGTAAATACGATAAATATTGTATCGTGCACTGCGTAAAAACCCGCGAATCGCGCACACAGTATAAAGATCGGTAGGGGCTATACCGATTTGCCGGGAGATCGGCAGTCGGGCGCGCCTCGCTTCCTCGAGCGGCGACGGGCAATTTGACGGGTCATTAGAGACGAAGGATCGGTTGGCCGATCGATCCCTCGATCACTCGTCGGGGAACCCCACGAACAAACGGATGTACTTATGTTCTCACGCACTGTTTTTGGCTCGAGTCATGCTGTCCCAGCAAGATTTATCACTCGGACGGGTGTTTCGGTAATTTCTGTGCATATATATTGATTGCTAATCAGTTGGAGTACACAATAGAAAGAGAGAGAGAAACAGCGAGCTCGAGAGCCTGCGGCGGTTGTCGCGCGACTGACTAACACCGCAGACTCTCGCACCGCTGAGATTCGAGAGCAGCCCGCTCGGGCGCCTCCCTCCGCGCAGTCGCGCGCACATTCCATCTCTCTCTCTTTGCGTATATGTAGGTACGGGAGCATCTCCCTGGGACTCGTCTTCTTCTTCTTCTTTCCATCTCCCCTCTATATGGGTGTTGGTACTGTACTTATTGTTGGAATCGGCTCGGGGGAAGAGAAAAAGAGCAATAAGTAGGTACATGTATGTATATGTGTGTGGGGTGTGTGTATAACACGCGGCACGTGCCTCGTGGGCTCGAATGGGACGATGCAGGTAAGAGGATCGGCACAGAGGGGAAAAAACTTTTTTGGGTTTTTTTTTTTCTTTTCCCAACTTACGATGTGTGTATATAATAATACGCTACTCTCCACCCTCGGTGTATATAAAACTTACATTTGGAAAGAGAGAGAGAGAGAGCTTTTCTCCTCATTCCCGCAATCAAGATGACAAGGGGAGAGTTTATACTAATACCTATACTCGGTTGCTCCACGGACATATCGTAATCGCACCCGTGAAAGTTCATTAACACCTTAGCGCGCGTTAGTTACTCACGTATCCATTAGTTAACAGTATGCTTATATTCCTTGGGAATTAATAATGCAGTTCGTATCTAAATGCAGTTCAAACACACTCGAGCACGCGAGGAGAGGCTCCGGGAAACTTTGGTCCTCCGCGTTATACGTGTGTGCTCTCGAAGTGCAAACTCAAACACCAGAGTGTATGTGTGTATACATCGACGGCGTAAAACGTTGAGTAAACACGCCATTGCCAAGGTGCTGCAACTCGAGAGCGCGATTAACATTTAATGTCGTTTTAGTTTTTTTTATTTTTTTTTTTTAAGCACGTACGTACAGTCGTTTCGATTCCGCAAAACATGCTTGCAAAACACGACATATAAAATACTGTGCAAAACGTTGAGTAAACACGCCATTGCCAAGGTGCTGCAACTCGAGAGCGCGATTAACATTTAATTTTTTTTTAGTTTTTTTTATTTTTTTTTTTTTTTTTTTTTTTATTTCCATCGTCAACTACACTCGTGTTTCCTACCCCCTTACCCTTTCTGACTTTTTGTAAGTAAATACTTGTGTGATTTTGTGTCCGTCAAAGCTTATTTCAAGTATCATGTTAAACGAAGGCACGAAACATTTGAAAAAGCCACACGAGCGTAATTCGAAAGCTCCGAGTTTAGCAACGCACGCGTCAGCCAACAGCGAGGAATGCAGAAAATATGTCTAAAGAAAGCCCGGCCATCTCTATCCGTGCATATATAATCCTCCAGATCGTCCTTTTTTGTTCTGTCTCGTGCCTGGCATGTATATATATATATATATATATACATGGTCTTGGGTGAGAACAGAAGTGCGAAACACGTGTACACCTACCCGACGACGCCCCCTCCTTGTACTCGAAGCGAGTGTGGGTGCGGACGTATAGGCGAGAACGGGAGTCGGGTAGGGGAGCCGATAAGCATCGACTGCGTGTGCGTAATACGTATGTGGAAAAAAAAAAAAAAAAAAAAAGATAGGAAAGAGGCACCGATGCGGTTTTTTAAATTAACTAAACAACGCGTGGCTGCTGTCGTCGCTCGTACGTCCGTCACATGCACACGTGTACAGGCACAGGCGTTGTAAATCTCCCTATAGGCGCGCGTATGGCGAGATGCGCCGATCGATAGCCAAGTTCCACGAGCGCGCGAGTGCACTTTTTTTTTTTTTTTTTTTTATTTCGCTGATTGCGATGTATCATTCTCGTTATGGGATAACCGTTGTTTGCATAAGAACCGTAGGCCGGTGTAAATTGCCGCTGAACACATCGTCCCAGATGACTGTCGTTTACCTGCTGCCACGTAAAAGCTCTTCAAAGGGCCTGCCGCGAAAGTGTGCATTATATGTGTATACATACGTATACGCATGCGTTTGTCCCCATCTGCCAGGGGGGAGGAGACCCTTTCGGCGGCTATTGTGTTTGCTAATTACCAGCTGGAACCCGAGACACCGCAGAGCCGCGCTGACGGAGGAAAATTTACAACCCTCCCTCCCCCGGGCCCGTAAAACGCCTCGTGAGAAAAACTGATTATCATCCACCGACGACTGAAGAGAAAAGGATTATTTATAAACGCGAAGAGTATATGTTGCGTGCGCGTGTATGGAGACGTCTGGAGTTCCAGACTGGCAGTCTTATTGTCCTGTGCCGAAGGAAAAAAAGAAAAAATTTCTCGGTGACAACGAAATTCCAAGGTAAGATATCACGAGCGCCGTCGCGATTCAATGCGTTTCCAGACGCGCAGTGTCAGTATATATTGTATACGTGCAAGCAGCATCGGGAGGGACGCGTCGTCGTGTACTTACTGCCTACCGTTGCATCCGATAAACATCAAAAGCACGTCTCGGCTTAAAATACCCTCTCTTCCATGGGTGTACGTAGGGTCGCTGTGTGTATATATATGGGGTCCACGGAGTGGGAAAAAAAAAAAAAAAAATGGGAAGACGCGAGTGTGGGCCCTTAAGATGCACCGACGGTGACGAGAGTCTAAATATAAAGTCGCGCTTACGCGCGCGTCTGGACGATAATGCAGGGGCAGACGAGAGCGCTTACACGCTGTTGTGCCCTGTCGGCGATGGTGTTTCGTAATTTTTCATTCCGTCGAAGGAGGGGAGGAAAAAACAAAGAAGAAAAATAAACAAGAATGTAAAACCCAAAAAAACCTGAGAAAAAGGGGCGTCGCGCGAGTTTCGCGTGCTTTTCGCGCTTTTGGCGCACTGCAGGGGAACAGGGGGCGGAGATATTTTTTTCCTTCGCGATGAGCACAAAGACAACAGCTCCGGGAATTTTCATCGAAACGTTTGTAACGCTACGGAGGGAGGAATCTAAGCCAAGAGATGTACAAAAATCACAAACTGCGAAGTTTACGAGCACAAGGAATGCGAATATAGTTTTTATCGTATAATAGAGCGTATACCTCAGGTATATATCTTTTGTTTGCTTCATTTTTTTTCCATCAGTAGTGGTACACGTATAAGAAAAGAAAGGACACAACAGTTACAGCCCAAACGAATTAATTTTTTTACCAACAACCACTGTACAAGCATAAATCAAAGTCCGTATATATACATATATCGGACAGAGAGTCCATCGATCACCTGCCTCGCCAAGCAAGCCACACGCGCCAGTTATGTAATATGATAATTAATTAAAACGTAGACCGATAAAAGCCAAGATCTCTCGTTTCGCAACGAACTAAACGACTCTCGCGTCAATGGATCATCGCTACAACCACCCACGTCCCGCGGCAGACGTCCATCCTTGTAAGGAGAGGCAGGGCAATCCTCGAAATTTCGGCGGTCCAATCGACCAATAATAAATGTTACCGTTCGCGGGCGAAAACAATCGCATTAAATTGCAACAGAGACAGGATAACCGAGCATAATCGTCGGATCGAGCTATAGCCAACCCACGCTCGGCGTCGCGTACTTAATAATACGGTGAGCACCGCTGTAGTAACAATATACCTACGCCTTTCACGCGCTGGGCGCGATTTTGCACGCGCACGTTATAGCATCGTAAGGTGTAGGCGGCCAGTGGGTATAATAGCCTCGCGGGCGCACATTACGTCCGGGGGCAGGCCAACCAATTAAGTTGGTTCGGATTAAAGATCTCGTCGTCCATTGCTGCAGTGTTACGTGTACCCAGACAATACTTGA